AGAGTGGTTTGGGGAGGTCAAGGGAGGGTACGAAGCCCACTGCGCCAACGACCATGATCAGAATTGCAGTTTGCTTTTGCATTGCAGTTCTTTTTGCAGTGCAATTTGTTTTGCTTTGCAGTTTTGCCGTTCTAGTTGCAGCTTTGGATTCCGCGTGCGAGGCGAGAGCGGTTTGGGGAGGTCCAGGGAGGGTCTGAAGCCCACGGCGCCAACAACCACAATCAGACTTTCAGTTGTTGTTTGCATTGCAGATTTTTGTTGCACTGCAGCTTTGCCGGTCGAGCTTAAGCTTTAAACACCGCGTTCCAAGCGAGAGCGGTTTTGGGAGATCCATTGAGGGTCTGAAGCCTACGGCGCCAACGACCATGATCAGAATTTCAGTTTTTGTTTGCATTGCAGTTTTTTGCATGTAAGTTTATTTGTTTGCATTGCAGCTTTACCGCTCTAGTTTCAGCTTTATATTCCGCGTTCCAGGCGAGAGCGGTTTGGGGAGGTCTAGGGAGTGTCTGAAGCCTACGGCGCCAACGACCACGATCATACGTTCAAATTTGTTTGCACTGCCGTGTTTTTGTTGCATTGCAGTTTTTTTGTTTGCATTGCAGCTATGCCGCTCTAGTTTCAGCTTTATATTCCGCGTTCCAGGCGAGAGCGGTTTGGGGAGGTCCAGGGAGGGTCTGAAGCCTACAGCGCCAACGACCATGATCAAACTTACAGTTTTTGCTTGCATTGCCGTGTTTTTGCTGCATTGCATTTTTTTGTTTGGATTGCAGCTTTGTCGTTCTAGCATCAGCTTTGGATTCCGCGCTCGAGGCGAGAGCGGTTTGGGGAGGTCTAGGGAGAGTCTGAAGCCCACGTCGCCATCGACCATGATCAGAATTGCTGATTTTTGTTGCATTGCAGTTTGTGTGTGCATTGCAGCTTTGCCGCTCCCAGGGGCCGGCCCGCGCGCGCGAACTAGACATAGCGTTAACCAGTTACCGGAGATTTGAGCACGCCTCTGGCCGGCTGTGCCAGCGAATTAAGGTTTTAGAAGGGTTCGGGCCTCTTGGAGGCCTCTCGGGGCGCTCTTGAAGCCATCTTGGAGCCATCTGGGGCCCCTCTTGGGCCATCTTGGAGGCCATCGACGAACAAAGAAGGCGTCGTCGATTTAGATCTCCCCGTAGGAACTCTCAAAATTGCATCTTGGAGAACTCTTGGGACGCTCTTGAGGCGGTGTTTGGAGCTCTTGGGACCGCCTTGGGCCCTTGGACCCTTCTTGGGGATCTCTGGGTCCATACCGGAGCCATCTCGAGGCTTCAGAAGCCCATCGGAAGCGAAAAGGCGAGAAGGCAAGCAACACATTGATTTCTATCAGGTTTGGGACGGTTGTTGGCCTCTCCAGGGCGTCCTTGGGAGGCCCTTTGCCACTTAGAGCCGTCTGGGAGGGATCTTGAAGCTTCTTGGAGGTCTGTTGCAAGCCATCTTTGGCCATGTTGGGTTATGTTCAGCGATCTTGGAGGCCATCTTTAGCTCGTTGGGGCCTTCTTGGAGCCATCTTGGGCCTGGGCCATCTTGGACGCTCTGACCGCTCGCGAAAGGCCCCGTCCAGGTCCAGGGGGAGGGGGTACCGAAGAGGAAGGGGGTTGGATGAGGGGGTATCAAAACCACTCACGCCCTAAAGGGCTGGTGGGATTTGAACCCCCTCCTCTGGGACCGTCAAAATCGTCTCTTGGGGCCCTCTGGGGCCCCTTTTGGTCGCTTCTTGGAGGCCTCTTGGGGCGTCTTGGGCGTCTCTTGGCAGTCCCGGGAGCCTCTTGGAGCATCTTGGCTGCCTCTGGGGGGGGGAGAAGCTCTTGAGGCCTCTTGTGGGCCTCCTTGAGACCGCTTGGGAGTCTTTGGAAGCTTCTTGGGAGTTCTCTTGGAGCCCATTGGGCGCCTCTGGGGCCCTCTTGGAAACCTAGGGGGGCCCTCTGGGGACCATGAGAGAAAGAGAAGGAGAAACACACAGATTGCCCAGAGAAGAAGAAACAAGTAGAGAGCCGCGGCAGCTGCCACATCAGTTCTCCTGCCCCAGAGCAAAGTAAGGCGCTGGGGTATAAGAACTTGTCCCTGCAAGCGGCTTAGTGGAGCAGGAGGAGGAGGAGGAGGAGGAGGAGGAGGAGGAAGAGGAAGAGGAGAGGAGGAGGGAAGGAGGAGGTGGGGAGGAGGAGGAGGAGGGGGGCAGGGCGGAGAACGGTGCAGGAGCAGAGGAGGGGGCAGAGGAAGGTAGGCGTGGCCAGCCAGGGAGGGGAGGAGCGCGAGCACAGTGAGGAGGAGCCACGAGGGCGGAGCAGGGTGAGCGGACGACCCCAAGGGCGGGCCCACGCCTCCTCCTTCTCCTCGTCCTCATCCTCCTCCTCATCATCATTCATCATCATCAGCACATCATCACTCATACACTCAGCATCATCAGATCATCATCATCACAGCAGCATCAGCATCATCCATCATCAGCATCATCATCATCATCATCATTCATCATCACCATCACATCAGCCATCATCATCATCATCATCATCATATCAGCTCATCATCATCGTCCTCGTCTCGTCCTCGGTCCTCGTCCTCGTCCTCATCCTCATTCTCCTCCTCCTCCTCCTCCTCCTCCTCCTCCTCCTCCTCCTCCTCCTCATCATCAGACTCATCATCAGACTCATCATCAACATCGTCGTCCTCCTCCTCCTCCTCCTCCTCCTCGCCGTGCGCCCGCCCCCCCCGCGGGCCCGCGCCCCACGGAAGCCTGGACGGCCGGGGCGTGCTCTGAGCATGGCCGTGCCCGCCGCCCGGGGCGGGGGGGGGTCCCCTGGCGCGCGCGCGTCGGGTCGCGGCGCGCCCGCCGGCGAGAGCCTGCTTGAAGTCGGGCGTGTCCTTCTACAGGAGAGGCATATCAAGCTTGGTCCAAAAATCGGGTCGGGGGGTCGGGGGGGGGGTCGGGGGGGGTCGGGGGGTCGGGGGGTGGGTCGGGGGGGGGTTGGGGGGGGGGGGTCGGGGGGTTGGGGGGGGGGGGTCGGGGGAGTCGGGGGGGCGGCGCGCACGCCGGGGGCGTCGGGGCGCGGCGCGCCCGCCGGCGAGAGCCAGGCATTCAAGTCGGGCGTGCCCCTCTACTCGGGGGCGGCAAAGAGGGAGGTGATGACTAGGGGGGGGTGGATATCAGGGCGCGGGCCACGGTATTTCCCCAAGTTTCACGGCGTCTGTTCTGTTCTTATTGCATTACGTCCCTGGCCCCCCGCTGGGCCGCGCACATGCCGCCGGTCATGATTTGCACCCCCCCCCTCTTGGACACCCCACTCTTGGCCGCTCCCGAGCTCTCCGGGGGCGTCGGGGCGCAGCGCGCACGCCGGCGAGAGCCAGGCTTGTGAAGTCGGGCGTGGCCCTCAACAGGAGGCATGTGCAAGCCTAGTCCAAAGATCGTCTGGGGACGAGGTTTCGACTCCTCTGTGGCCATTTCGGAGTTTTTTGTTTTGGGGGAGGGGGGCTATTGTTGGATTTTCGCCCCAACCCCGCCGGTAGGAGGACGTGCCCGACCTGAAGCCAGGCCCCTGAGCCCCCGCTCGTCGCCAGGGACGGGCGCGGTTCGGCGGAGACAAACATGGCACAGACATACAACTGTCAGAGCTGCTCCGCGCGGAATTCTCGGATCGGCACTGGAACCTCCTCTGGCGCGCGGAGCGCGCCAGGGGTGGCGCCAGAGGCGCCGCCAGGGGTATTCCGCGCCGATCCGAGAAATCCGCGCGGAGCTCCGATAGTTTCTGTTCATGCCATTTATAGCTGTGCGCGCCGCGCTCGAGGCCGACGATGCATCGCCGATGCGTAGGCGATACATTGGCGTTGCGGCGGAATCCTTCCATCGGCGATGCATCGGCGATGCGGCGCGATCCTTCGACCTTATCTACGGTCGGGAACTTTGGGGTAGCGTGTCGCGCCGCCAGTTCTGGCCCACCACACTCAGGAGGGGAAAAAACACACAGACACAATTAATCGTCCACTCTCAGGAAAATATAGGAAAATATGGGAAGTGGGGGGGAAGACAAAAACCCAGAAAATATGGAAAAATATGGGGGATGTTTTTATTTGTGTGTATTTATTTGTGTGTCCTGGGGCCCCTTCACGCACTTCGGCGCGACACGCCATCCACGTCCCAGTCCCAAAAGCTTCAACGCCCCGAGCCTTCCCGAGCCCTTCCGCCCCGCGGAGCGGAGCGACACGCGATCCACTTGCAAGACATGCCGTGCCGCCGGGGCCGCTGGGTCGACGCGTCAAGCAGAGGTTCCCGACGGAACGTGCCCGAGGAGAAGAACGGATCGGATGTCAAATGCACTTTCTGATTCACATGGGGCCCACCGTCGAACACAAGGATCCCCTTTGGGACACCCTGTGTTTCTTTCGAAGACGGCGCATGGGGACGGAGGTGGGGCAATCGTTGACATTTTTTGTCTGTGGGCGAAGTCTCGAGAGCGAAGGACCGGCAACGGCCAATGCGATCTTCCAAGGCTCGCCAAGCCAGCTCGGCACAGCGACCGAGCAGAAGGGAGTCCCGCGCGGCCCTGGTGAAAAAGAGCACCCCTTTTTGGAAGGCCTCTCGCGTCGTCGTCTTCGCCGTCGTCTATGGGACCTCCTGCGGCGGCCTCTACAGTGGAGACCCATGCCAAGAAACACCCTGCTTGCCTCCAGGGTGCCCCCTGGGTCTCTTGGGTGTCCATGGTCTTGCCATGGAAAGCGTGACGCTCCCGCACCAAACATCAATCGACGTCCTGGGGCCTCAGGGTGGGCTTACTTGTGGAAGTCTTCTTGTGGTCGGCCAAGGGCAAGTCCAAGGACGTGGCGGTGAACCTCGCGGGCATCGCGCACGTCGGGGACTGAGCGAGTGGGCTCCCGAGGGAGCCTGCGAACCGTGCGGTCGGGCGCGCAGCGCCCGGCTGTGTGGTCAGTGGGAAACAAAACCTCTCTGCACTCGAGCAGGCCGAGCCCGGCGCGGCGGGGAG